TCATTGTGGTTTTGATTTTCATTTCCCTAATGATTAGTGATCCTAAGTATTTTTTCAAGTGTTTGTTGGCCACTTTATTATTATTATTATTTAAAAGGCAGAGTGACAGAGAAAGAGGGAGAGACAAAGAGACATAGTGGGAAAAGAGATCTTTCTCTGGTTCACTAACAGAATGGCTGTAATCCCTGATGGGGTCAGGAGCCTGGAACTCCATCCAAGTTTATAATGTGAGTGGTAGCACCTAAGTATTTGGACCATGTTCAGCTCATTTCCCAGGTGCACCGTACTGGTCAAGAATACATTATGGGGCCAACTAGAGTTCAGAAGATATTGGAGGCAGGCGCTGTGATGTAGCAGGTATAGCTGCCAACTGGAGTACCAGCATCCCATATGGGCACAGGTTTGAGTCCTGGCTGCTCCATTTCTGATCCAGCCCTCTGCTATGGCCTGGGAAGGCAGTAGAAGATGGCCAAAGTGCTTGAGCCTCTGCCCCAGTATGGGAGACCTGGAGGAAGCTCCTGGTTCTTGGCTTCAGATCAGCGCAACTCCTGCCATTGCAGCCATCTGGGGAGTGAACCAGTGGATAGGGGACCCCCCCCTTCACTCTTTCTCTGCCTTTCAAAAAAATAAAGACTTTTACAAATGATATTACAGAATGCTGGGTGAATGTGCAGAGGGTGTAACATCTTTTATATTGGGTGCAACGTTGCTTTCCAGTTTTGGAATTGTTGCCAAGAAGAAGTAGAATATGCCAAATACATGATTTCCTGGTATGTATTACCCCTAGGGTAGACATATGCTGTCAATATAGCCAAACACAGACAGCTGCCCTCAGCTGGAAAGAAGCTGCTAAGTTGTCATTTCTGGCAGTGACTTCAGGAGTTGTAAGGTCACTGAGCTTTCACAGGCAGCAGTGCCTGCACTGGTACGTTAGTGACACCAAAAGCCTGCATCAGTGACAGTGGGAGCCTTCGGTAAGCAAATCAGAAAGATCAAGATCTGGGGACAAGTTGTAGTTTAGAATCTCAGCCACACAGAGGACTCTATTTGTGTCTTGCTCCTGGTTGTGGTTCACTATCTTCTTTAGGGGTTCTTTTGTATGCTGCCTATGATCCTTCAATGCACTTTTCAAAAATTTCTTGAATCAAGGTTTAATTCTCATTTTTTATGTCTTAGAATTCTAATTCACACAAAATAAATTATTTTAATGTTGTTTTATGAGGCAATAAATCTTGGTCTAATGCTAAATTATATACCATGATCATATCAGGAAATCTGTAGTCAGAAACAAATAATTGCATCATTCTAACATTTTGGATATTGGTATTATTACATTATTCTCAAACATTTGATATTTCAGCTTTACTGCTGCCTTTTGTTGAGGCTTTTTTTTTATTTTTTGACAGGCAGAGTGGACAGTGAGAGAGAGAGACAAAGGTCTTCCTTTGCCGTTGGTTCACCCTCCAGTGGCCGCCGCGGCCGGCGCACCACACTGATCCGATGGCAGGAGCCAGGTGCTTTTCCTGGTCTCCCATGGGGTACAGGGCCCAAGCACCTGGGCCATCCTCCACTGCACTCCCTGGCCACAGCAGAGAGCTGGCCTGGAAGAGGGGCAACCGGGACAGAATCCGGTGCCCCGACCGGGACTAGAACCTGGTGTGCCGGTGCCGCTAGGCGGAGGATTAGCCTAGTGGGCCGCAGCGCCGGCTGAGGCTTTTGAAAATAAATACCACATTCCATAAATGTTTATTGTAGTATATGTATGGCTTAGCCCTTAGAGTGCTTGTATTCCACTACAGAAATAAATTTGAAAAACAAAGATAAGATATGCAATATATGTATATAACTTAATTTCAACCTTTTCTCATTTTGCCTTCAAAATCTTTTTTTGGTTAAAATATTTTGAAAGAAGTCAGAAAATATTCTAGGGAGTGCAACTGCTGAGTAAGGCTTTCAAAAGGCTGAGTCATCTCACCTGAGCTGCCAGGAGTCAGAAAGCAGAATATTCATGATAGCCGTGATTCCAGGAGCAAGAAGTGAAGGCAACTTCTCATAAACAGAATTATCAAAAGCAATGGGTTAAAATAAGTGAAGTAAAGGAATTGCTCCAGAAAAAACTAACCCATCAAATTTTCTCAGACTATCAAAGGTGTTAAAATAAGTATCACATAGCAGAGTACTGGTAGCAATGCCACATTGCAATGTTAACTCTTGTACAGATATTTAAAGGAAAATTACCAAAAACATGAAAAAAAAATCTGAAAGCACAGCTAAATGAAAAACCAAAAGGGGAAAAGCTGTTATCAAATGATCCCCTAAAACAGACATCAGATCGGCAGTGAATCTTCATTGTGTTTGATATAATTGTAGAGCAGTGAATTTTTCTCTCCTTACACTCTACTCTCTACATTGCTCATGTCTCAGTTAATTGGCTCGATTCTCTATACAGAATACTTTATATCAGAGGAATGTGTGTGTGTGTGCGTGTACAAGTGCATTCTGAAGAGGAAAGGAGACCATAAATAGTTGAGAACAAAGTACTGTCTAAATCAAAATGCAAATGTCACTCCTGTCTCTCCCTTTGTATTTTCAGCAGCAGAGTTGTTTGCCAAAGAGTGACTATCAAGGCCTTCACTAATGTTCTAAGGAGGGCACAATGTTCCACTCCCAGAACAATGTAACCCAGTGGTTTTCAGCAAGGAAATTGCTAAATTTCCCAAAGGAATTCCTTACTGTTAGAAAGACCTCTGAAAATTAACTAGTGAGAATAAATGCCACGAAATCTAACATTAGTACTCTGAACTGAATTTGCTTATGCCAGACCTCTAAACAATAAATTGTGTTCTGCTGTGTTGCTATGCCCGTTCATGAGGCAAGCCATTTTAAAGTACAGCATCTTGGAGATTCCAAAAGAGCAGAATGGGGAAAGTGTGTACTGCTTTAGGCTAGGGGAAAACAGCAAAAAAAAAAAAAAAAAAAAAAAAAAAAAAAAAAAAAAAAAAAAAAAAAAAAAAAAAAAAAAAAAAGATAGTGGATGAAGTATATTCTTAGGGGAGACTTGGAGAGCAAACTACAGGAAGTGCTGAGGAAGGAAGAAGGACACCGTGGATCATGGTGGAAGGCCCACGTGGACACAAAGCAGCAAGCATAGACACAGCACATGACCCCAGGAGCTGAGAGCAGGAGACTGCATCAGCGTTGGAGAGTGAGTGAGATCAGTCTGCAGAAACCTGTGACACTGGTGATCTAGCTGGAGGGAGAGCCTGGTCAACTGCGCTGTCTGTGAATGCGGCCTGGAGTCCTGAGTGCGACAGGGCACCCACTTACTCAGTGGGACAAAGGGGCACATTTCCCTCTCCCCATTTCCCCACAAACAGGTGGCTGAGAGAGGGCAGGTGGAATTACGGGTGTAAGTAGCAGCTGAGCAGGTCTTGGGCATGTGCCCAGCAGCTGGCAGTTCAGCTGGAGGATGGTGGGGAGAAGGTGCCATTGTGAAACAAGGAGGGGCCGTGGCGAGTGACTCTTGGTGCACGTGTGGGATCCAGGGATATTGCCAGAGAGCAAAGTCCCTGTTCCCCACTGACCTTGAGTCTGGCTGGGAGGATTGATGGGGGCTGTGCACCCAGGTAGGACTGTGAGGTACTCCCAGGCACTCAACATAGCAGAGGCTCAGGGGCTCAAAACCCAAGGTGGAGCAGCCACGGAGAGCTGGTTCTGGGAACATGGCTCTCTCTCCATGGAGGGGACAGCTTTATGAGGTGGAGCAGATCTTCTGTACCCCATGGCTCATAGAGCTTTCCCCAGGTATCCCAGTTGGATCCAGAGGCCCAAAGACATGGGCCATCTTCTCTGCTTTCCCACGTGGGAGATGTGAATGAAGCTCCTGGTTGCTGAGTTCAGTCTAGCTCAACCATGGCATCCAGGATTCTCCTGGTAAACTTCTCTTTGGGGGAGGGTGTGTGGCACAGCGATGACACCACCTATTGGGACACTCCCATCCCATAACAGAGGGCCTGAGTTCAAGTCCCAGCTCTCATTGCAGTTCCAGTTTCCTGTAATACCCACCCTGGGAGACAACAGGTAGTAGTTCAAGTTGTTGGGTCCTTGCCACCCACATGGACCCAGGTTGAATGCCTGGGTCCTGGCTTCTGCCTGGCCCAGCCGTGGATGTTGTGCATACTTGGAGGGCTAAACAAGGATGGACGTTCTCCCCATCTGGCCCTTTCTCTTTTGTGTGTCCCTGCCTTTCCAATCAATAAAAAAATTGGGGGCCAGTGTTGTAGCATAGTAGGTTCAGTCACCTTTTGTAATGCCAGCGTCCCATATGGGCACTGGTTTGTATGCAGGCTGTTCCACTTCTGATCAGGATTCTCCCGAATGTCCTGGGGAAAGCAGTGGCAGATGGAACAAGTGCTTGGGGCCCTGCCACCCTCATGGGAGACCGGGAAGTCTCGACTCCTGACTCCTCACTCCTGGCTTTGGCCTGGTCCCATAGTGGTTGATGCAGCCACCTGAGGAGTAAACCAGTTGGATGGAAGATCTCTCTATGTCACACTCTGTGTATCTTGGGCTTTCGAATAAGTACCTAATCATAAAAAAATAAAAAATTGTTTGGCACACTGGTCTTCCCCTGTCAGAGGGCCTCTAACCTCAGGCCAGCAGGACTGCCGGTTTCCTGCGTTCTGTCCTGTGAAGTTTGCTCTTTTTACTGGCGAGGACTTGCGCATGGGTCCTTGCTCTCCCCTCAGCACCATGTCCAGGAAACCAAGCTGCTGGTTTTCACAGACACCTCCACCCACCCTGGTAGCACCACAAGCTCAGGGTGGGGAGGAAAGGGACACAGCTCCAGGCCAGCACACCACCTTCTCCCACACTTCTTCCCTGGGCAGTCAGCAATTCTCCATCAATCAGTGCTGTCTGTTTTGTGGTTGGTTGGTTTGGGTGTTTTTTGGTGGATTCCCAGAGGCCTTAAAGGTTGTTGGTTTTGTCTTGTTTCATAGCCGTCGGACATATTGCTGGGGAAAGCCAGACATGAGCCTCCTTCAGCACCGGACACAGCCTAGGATCCTGCTGGGCTCAGGACCTCCCCTCCCATCTCTAGTCCCACGAGGTGAGTCGTCCCTCTTCAGTGAAGCTCTCCACTCAAAACCAGGCCTCCCTCAGCTGGCAAGGGGAGGTGCCAAAAATTTTATGTATGCCTGTGGGGGTCCCAACACTGTCTCAGGCAGTAGTACCCAGCGTGTTGTGCACGTGAACTAGCAGATGGAACACTACCTTCCATCCCTAGGGTGTGCAAACTCTTACACTCAATGACACTTCACAAGGGAGCCAACCTTTTTGGAGCTTCTGCTCAGCTAAGCTCCCACGTTGGAGCACTATTTCAAGTCTCAGCTGCTCCACTTCCTATCCGATCTTCTGCTTGTGTGCCTAGGAATACAGCAGATCCAGGCCCAAGTACTTTGGCCCTACCACCCATTTAGGAGAGTAGTAGGAGTTCCCTGCTCCAGGCTCCATCCTGGCCCCTACCTGACTGTTGTGGTCCCGTGGGAAGTGAACCAGAGGAAGGAAGACCTCTCTGTCACCACCTCTTTTGCTCATTTCTGTTTCAAATGCATAAATCTTTGTGAAAAATTACACACCACATGGTAGTTTTCTGATCAATGTGGAACCTTTATTTATAAACACAGGCAATGTGTTTGGTTCCAGGGATTCAAACCCTTGCCATTTCACAAGGTAGGGAAGGCCAGGTTGGGTTGAGAAATACCCAACACTCTCCCCACGTACCCATGGTGCAGCATGAATGCTACAGAGAGCCCCCCATTGCCCCCCCCAGTCTCCTCTTACACTGCTCTCCCCATTGACCTGGATCCAGTGCCCCATTCCATGCCTGCCACCACCATCACCCCGTGCTCCCCTTCTCCCTCCCAATTCCACACTAAGCCCACGATCAGCCACCCTCGGCCCACCCTCACCCTCCCTCGGCCCACCCTCGGCCCACCCTCGCCCACCCTCACCCACCCTCGCCCACCCTCGGCCCACCCTCGGCCCACCCTCGCCCACCCTCGCCCTCCCTCGCCCTCCCTCGGCCCACCCTCGGCCCACCCTCGCCCTCCCTCACCCTCCCTCGGCCCTCCCCTCGCCCTCCCTCGGCCCACCCTCGCCCTCCCTCGGCCCACCTCAGCCCACCCTCGCCCACCTTTGCCCACCCTCGCCCTCCCCTCACCCTCCCTCGGCCCACCCTCGCCCTCCCTGGCCCACCCTCGGCCCACCCTCACCCACCTTTGCCCACCCTTGCCCTCCCTGGCCCACCCTCAGCCCACCCTTGCCCACCCTCTCCCTGCCTGGCCCACCCTCGGCCCACCCTCACCCACCTTCACCCTCCCTGGCCCACCCTCGGCCTACCCTGGACCACCCCTGGACCACTCTGTTTGTCCCCATCCTCCATTACCCTGTCCGTGCCCATATCCCCATCCTGCCTTCTCCCTTCCCTCACCCATGTCCACCACTCCCTTGCTCCCCAGGCCCTCTCCCCACAGACCTGCTCTCCCTGCTCTGTCCCTGCCCTCAGCGCCTGTCCCTGTGCCACTGTGCTGTGCTGGCAGCAAGGCCTAATAACTGCCATGGAGGATGACATCACAGAAGCCTGGCCTGTGCCAACATTCTGTGCAGGTGAGGTCATTTCCCTCAGTGGGACTGTGAGCCACATGTGGAGCACACTCGCTCTTGTGCACTGGACACTCTCCACATTGGTCCACTTCCCAGCCCATCACGGGGTGGCAGGTGTAGACGGGCTCTTACAGGGCTCATGACCAATGGAACCTAGTTTTAAACTAACCCCAGAGCAGGGATGAGTAAGTGTACAGCATTCCTTCAGATCAGTCACAACAGAGCTGCCCCTTTTCTGCTCGCAGGTCTTCCTCAGGCTGGGTAAGAGGTCAGTGCTGTGGGCTTTACCCTCCATTGACAGTCACCAGAAAACGATGACAAATTGAACATACCACAGTGGGACAAGGACACTGGCAGATGAACCTTGCCCAAATCTTTTATGTTATCTAAGATCTTAGCTAAGGACAGTATGATGTTTCAGTTGCCAAGGTATTCTAAACTCCACTTCCCTCTTTTCATACACATGATTAGACCCATGATGCATTTAATTAGACCCATGATGCAGTGTGTGTAAACTGCTTGGGCAATCTTTGGGCCCAGCAGCGAGAGCACCAGGATAAGACCTGGGGTTTCCATCCAGGCTCCACTCCGGTTTCCAGCTTCATCCTGGGGCTCCAGCAACTTCAGACACCTAGGAGGAGCATGTGCTCTCGCTCACTTGCTCGCTCACTCTCTCTCTTTCTCTCCCTCCTTCTTAAATAAATAAAAAATTCTTAGAAAACAAAATCTTCAAATTATAGAGTCTAGGCAGATTGAACATCAATGCTGGCCTCGGCTCCACACTGGCCCAGTGCCAAGGGAAGGGCCTAGAACAATTGGAGCAGTGGGCAGTGGAGCAAACTGCCCATGGACAGGCACCTGCCCAAGAGTCACCGTGCCCGGCCACTAGAGTACCTCCAGCTGCCAGGCCACACCCCCCCACCCTCTTGGAACCATTTCTCCCTCCCCACCCCAAGGGGTCCCACCCAGGTCTCTGCCCCTCAGTGACTTTGGGTGAGGGGCTCATATACACGGACCCAGTGCCAAGAGGGACAGCAGGTTCTGCCACCCACACCCACCCGTTGAAACCTCCAGAGTCAGCAACTGGGACTGTGTTGTGGTGTGGGAAGCTGCCTTCCAGGATCTGGGCTGCTGGGGGTCCCTGGTGCATCTGTCAGCGAGGCCAGGCCCTCCTGGGGAGCTTCCACAACCACAGTGGGGGAAGGGGCACAGTTAGAGGGAGACAGAAGCCACAGAGGGAGACAGAAGCCCCAACCCCTGTAGCCTCTGTATCCCTGCCCCACCTGCCCTGGCCTGGCTGGCCCCTGCAAAACCTGGTTTCTCCCCAGGAATGTTTGTTCCCGTTCTCTGCTCGGGGAGCTTTTTCATGGTGTGGCCTCATCCTCGACAAAGCTGTGGGACTCAGAGCCAGGCTCTGTGTGGCCCGACGATCCTGCTGACCCTGGCCTCCTGCAGACCATGGGCCGCCATACCCCTGGCCGCATCTCCAGCTTTTCAAGTGGGAAGAAACCACCCCGCTTCCCAGGACTTGCACTTCTGTGGGCCATCCTCAGCAAGGTCAGTGAAGTGTCTACAGCCGCCTGGACCATTTCTATGAAGAACGCTGGTCGAAGCCTTGGCTGAGGGGGTCCAGGGGTGTGGAGTTGGGGGTGAGAACCCTGCAGGGAGAGAGGTGGTCACTGGTGTCCAGGAGCCAGCTAAGGTAGCCATGGGCCTCCCTAACCTGTCCTCGCCCACAGTGTTTCACGGTTGGTTGGCATTTGTGGCCTCAGATCACGGGCTCCTTCGCTGATAGGTATGTACCCTGCAGCCATGTGGGCCCCACCCTTAAGAACCTGCTGGGCGCTAGAGGCTGGGAGCTGCAGAGGACAGGCGATGGCCTCAGGAGCTGGTGGACACTGGGGCAGCTGCTGAGCGTGGTGCCCTGAAGTACGCTTAAAGGAAGAGGAGCCCAGGTCCCTCCTATTCCCTATGGAGTTTTGAATGCAGCTTCTGGAACACTGTCCCCTCTGGAGCTCCTGAGTTTGTTTTACATGCAGCCAGTTGTAGCCTGGCTCTGAGCTCTGCAGTCACACATATGCAGCGCACACACACTCAGTCCAGAAGTGAACTCTGAATGGGCTGTGCACGGATGCATACTTCAGCCCACAGGCCCTTCCTGCACATGGTTCAACTGGCATGGGCTGGGGGGTGTGTGGGACAGACCCCCTCAGTGAGCCTGAGCAGCATGCGGGTCGCTGGCCCTAGTGGAGGGCTGCTGAGGAGGGGGCAGTGGGCTCAGGGGTCTGTGGGCTCCACTCAGAAATGCACCCAGAGAAGGGACCCAGCAAAGCGGAAAGGACACCAGCACCTGTCCTGGACACAGGTGACTGCAGATGTCCAAAAGGGCCCAGGTTAAGGGGCTGCCTCCCCCCCGCCAATCTCCTTGTGATGCTCACCTTGGAGAGGACGCAGGGCCATGCTGGTACCGGCACTGGAGAACCCAGGACCCTAAGTCTCCACCCACACCCCATGGCTGCTTTCATCCTGGTGAGTGTCGGAGACCCTGAAGGGCCAGGCCATGGTCCCAGGCAGAGGCCTGTCCTCAGTGCGCTGGCCCTGGCCTCTTGTTCCCTCTCTCTGGTTGTGTTTGTGTCTTGCACTGGAGGAGACACAGCCATGCAGGTCCTGATCAAGAGTCAGAGCTGGCCTGGTCAGGGAGTCTTCCTCCTGGCCCAGACCCACCTGGGACCAGGAACGTTCTCAGTGCCAAGGGGTTCCACACATTCCTGCAAAAACCAATGTGAAACCCAGTCCACGCAGCTGCCCATTAGGGCCCCAGGACTCCATTTCCTGAAGGCGGGGAGGGGCAGAGCACATTGCTGCCCCTGGACTCTGCTCAGAGCCCCAGCGTCAGAGTTATGCCCACCCTGGTGGCTCCAGGGTGTGGTTACTGCTTCTGTTTTCCCTGTGGACCACAGCAGGCAGGCCACCCCCTTCCTGGAATAAGATCACCTGTGTGGACCGTGACGGTGATGTTAGTGTGTGTGTATGTGTGTGTTCTGTGTGCATGTAGGTTCACATGTGTATGTGTACTGTGCAAGTGTGTGGTGTGCACATGCATAGTTAATGGCTTCATCCTGGCGCAGCCCTTGTTGCTGTAGCCATTTGGGGAATGAACCAGCAGGTGGAAGATCTCTCTCTCTCTCTGCAAATCTGCATCTTAAATAAAAAAAAAGAATCTTAAAACCCTAAAACCCCACCATTTTCAGCACTGGGGACGCCTTCAGAGCTCTAGGAGCTCAGGCACTTGATGTTTGGTGGAATCAGGGACAGCGAGGTGGCACAGCTGGGCCTACAGCCAACACTGGCATGGCCTTCGGGTGCCAGCTTGAGTCCCAGCTGTTCCCAGCTCCTGTCTTGGGTGCTTGTGAGCCGGGAGAGACGCTGTGGAGTGGTACAGGTGCTTGGGATTCCTGGCTGCCCAGGCCTGTCCATGTCTGGACCTCCCCTCGCCCCTCATCAGCACCAGTAATGCTGTGTCCTTGGTCGCTGGCATCTCTAGGGCCTCTCAGGTGATTCTGGGTCCTTAACATGGGGTCTGAAGCTGCTCTTACCGTTGGCTTCCACATGGCTGCTGTCTGTCGCTTTTGTGGCCACCATGGCTCAGCCATGGCCACACTCCCTGAAGAGTGGTTTAGGGGTGGGGCTTTTGTGTCCTCTGACCCCTGCCTTCCCAGGTGTGTTCACAGGGGGCAGCCAGGACTGGAACCAGTGCCTACGATGATGGCACTCCACCCACCACACCCAGCATTGATCCCTCACCTCACCTTCCCAACCTGTGTTCAGCTCAGTGGACAGGAGAGGGCGAACGGTGTGGGCCTCTCTGGTCAGGTGGCCAATGACAGGAGGAGGTGTCGAGCCAGGCCTGCTTTGTGTCTAGCTCTAGTTTTCAGGGTGGCAGCTCCCACTGGTGGGCACCTGACCAGCCACCTCCTAGTGGTCTCCAGGGATTGCCTGTTGGGGGATGTGGGAAGGGAGTTCTGGCCCCCATGGTGGCATCTGCCACCCACCCTGTCACTTGCAGCTCTGTGGGAGATGGGTGAGGGCGCCCCTCTTCTGAGCAGGACCCAGAAGGGAGCTGTATAGATAGAGGTGCAGGCTGAGTGGTGGAGTTAGGCATGGCTGACAGGTTTATAAATGAAGACCTGGGTCCCCATGGACCTAGATTGAGACCAGGACCTCCCCCAGGCCCTGCCTTCCAGTGGGAGTCTGCAGCCCAGCCTGCACACACCATGCTACCCTCCCCTGTCCCCCACCTTTCTTCCCCTCCCCTCTCCACCTGCCCCTTCCACAGGTGCTTCAGGCGCACCGGCCCAAAGGCCATTCTCTCAGGTTCCTCCAGCCCCCAGGGAGTAGTCTTCCTGCAGTTTTCCATAGCACCTGCACTAATTTACATATTTAACATCAGTGTGTAGGTGTTCCCCTTTTCCCACTTCCACCTTATCATTGTGACTCTGTCCTTTGGAGCTTAACCATTTTGAAAGGGCTAGCTCATATCATTGTGGTTTGGATGGCATTTCCATGATGGCTTGTGATATTGAGCATTTTTTTCATAGAATTGTTGGCCATTTGTATTTCTTTTTTAAAATTTTTTAACACAGTGGACAGTGAGAGAGAGAGACAGAAAGGTCTTCCTTTGCCGTTGGTTCATCCTCAATGGCTGCTGTGGCGGTGCACTGTGGTTGGCACACCGAGCTGATCCGATGCCAGGAGCCAAGTGTTTCTCCTGGTCTCCCATGCGGGTGCAGGGCCCAAGGACCTGGGCCATCCTCCACTGCACTCCCGGGCCAAAGCAGAGAGCTGGACTGGAAGAGGAGCAACCGCCACAGAATCTGGCACCCTGACCAGGACTAGAACCTGGTGTCTGGTGCCGCAGGTGGAGGATTAGCCTAGTGAGCCGTGGCACCAGTGGCCATTTGTATTTCTATGGAGAACTCTGTTCAGCTCCTTTGGCCATTTCATATCTGGATTCATTGTTTCATTTTATTTTTTTTTAAGTTGCGGATGTATTCTGTACATTAATCCTTTTTCAGATAGGTAGGTAGCTCACAGATATTTTTGCTCATTCTGTTGGAGGACTCTTTATTGATGATTTCCTTTGCTGTCCATAAGCTGTTGACTTTGATATAATCCCATTTGATTAGTTTTGATTTTGTTGCTTTGCCCTGAAGGTCTTTTCTAAGAGTCAATCTGTACTTAAGTGTCTTCTAGTACTTACTCTACATTTGTTTCCAAAAGCTTCATAGTCCCTGGTCTTACATTTAAGTCCTTGATCCATTTTGAGTTGATTTTCTTCTTTTCTGTGAGTAATGGATCTAATTTCAATCTCGTACATAAATGCAGTTTTGCCAACACCAGTTTTTGAGGAGATTTTCCTTATAGCAGTGAATATCTGAGACCTTTTATCAAAAATCAGATGTCTCTACATATTGGTATTGATTTTGGGACTTGCATTGTTTTTTTTTCCATTGGTCAATGTGTCACATTTTATGCCACTGCTGTGATGTTTTAATTAGTGTTGATTTGTAGTATGCTTTGAATCAGGTGTTGTGAGGCATCCAGGTACTTTTGTTTTGTTTTGTTTTGTTTTTTGGTAAGGAACCCCCAAGCTGTTCTGGATCTTCTGTGATTTGTATGAATTTTAGGCATTTTTTTTTTGTTTTTCCACAAAGAATGTCACTGATATTTTGATAACAATTTAATTGAATTTTTATATTGCATTAGGTAAGGTTGACATTTTTTTTGACAGGCAGAGTAGACAGTGAGAGAGAGAGAGACAGAGAGAGAAAGGTCTTCCTTTTACCGTTGGTTCAACCCCCAATGGCTGCTGCGGCTGACACGCTGTGACCGGTGCACCATGCTGATCTGAAGCCAGGAGCCAGGTGCTTCTTCTGGTCTCCATGCGGGTGCAGGGCCCAAGGACTTGGGCCATCCTCCACTGCACTCCCGGGCCACAGCAGAGAGCTGGACAGGAAGAGGAGCTACCGCCACAGAATCTGGCGCTCCGACCGGGACTAGAACCCGCTGTGCCGGCTCCGCAGGTGGAGGATTAGCCTATTGAGCTGTGGCACCGGCCAAGGTAGACATTTTAATGATACTCATTCTTCGAATCCATCAAAAGAAATATCATTTCATTATTTCTGTTCTTGGTGATTTCTTTTATCAAGATATGGTAATTTTGATTATAGAGCTTTAAAACATCTTTAATGTATTAAACACTGCTGTTTCTACAGTATGTTTATTTGTAACCTGTAACTTCACTTAATGTTTCACCAGTCCTAGCAGTGTTTTGGGTTCATTGTATTAGTATTTCTGTTACAATGATCATGTCACCAGCAAGCCCTTAGAATTTGATGTTCAATTTTCAAACCTATTTACTGATTCTTTCTTTCTTCTCCCTCATTGTTTTTGTGAAAATTTACAGTACTACATTCAGAAAGAGTGGTAAAAAGGGACATCCTTGTGTTGTTACATGTTTGACAAAAATGCTTTCAAATTTTCCCCATCCAGCATGACATTGGCTGTTGGACATGTCATACATAGCCGTTATGATTTCGATATGTATTCCTTCTGTATCTATTTTGTGTAGTTTTTTAATCCTTTTTATTCTATTGATATTTCTGTATCTAATTAGATGATAATGTGGTTTTTCAAAAGATTTATTTCATTTGTTTGCAAGAATGATATAGATTGATAGAGATAGAGCAAGAGCAAAAGAAAGGGAGGGAGGAAAAGAGGGAGAGGGGTCTTCTATTTGCTAGTTTATTCCCTAAATGACCTCAATGGCCAGACTGAGCCAGTATGAAGTCAGGATCCAGAACCTTCTTCCAAGTCTCCCATGTGGCTGAAAGGGCCCAACTAATTGGGACATCCTCTGCCACTTTCCCAGGCACATTAGAAGGGAGCTAGATTGGAAGAGGAGCAGCCTGGATGCGAAATGGCACACATATGAATGGAAGCATTGTGTGTTGTGGCCTTAACCCACTGCAATACAGTGCTGGCCCTGACAATGTGTTTTTTTTTTCTTTTTTTTTTTTTACATGCAGAGTGGACAGTGAGAGAGAGAGAGAGAAAGGTCTTCCTTTTGCCGTTGGTTTACCCTCCAATGACCACCACGGCCGGCATGCTGTGGCCAGTCGCACCCACTGATCCGATGGCAGGAGCCAAGTGCTTCTCCTGGTCTCCCAGGGGGTGCAGGGCCCAAGTACTTGGGCCATCCTCCACTGCACTCCCGGCCAAAGCAGAGAGCTGGCCTGGAAGAGGGGCAACCGAGACAGAATCCGGCGCCCCGACCGGGACTAGAACCCGATGTGCCGGTGCCACAAGGCGAAGGATTAGCCTAGTGAGCCACGGCGCTGGCTGACAATGTGGTTTTGTTCTTCAATTAGTTTGATATAATTTATCATGTGTATTAATTTGAAAATGTGGAACATCATGGCATTTCTGGGATGAATTCCAATCAAAGGTTATACATGAGCTTTTGCGTGTGATTTTGGTTTTGTTTGGCTAGAATTTTGTTGAGAATGTTTGCATCTTTTTCATTTACGATCTAGGCCAGCAGTTTTATTTACATTCAGTGTTTAGCTATCTTTTGTGGTCAGAGTAATTCTGGCCTCACAAAAAGTGTTTGTTAGAGTTGAATCCTATTCCATCCAGCTCAATATTTTAAAATAGCTGGAAAAGTATTGGAGTTGCTTTTTAAATCTTCAACCTCCTTGGATACCTTTACTTCAAAGGTATTTAAATTTTAGTAGCTATTGTGAATGGAATGGATCTTTGAAGTTGTCTCTCAGCCATGACATTGTGTGTATACAAATTCTATTGATTTTTGTGTGTTGATTTTATATCGTGCCACTTTTCCAAACTCTGAGTTCTAATAATCTCATAGTGGAGTTTCTTGGTTCCCCCATTTGAAAAAATCATGTCCTTTTGAAGGAGGGATAGTTTGACTTCCTCCTTCCCAATTTGTATCCATTTGATTTCTTTTTCTTGCCTAATGGCTCTAAAACTTCCAGATCTATATTGAATAGCAATAATGAGAGTACATCCTTGTCTGATTCCAGATCATAGTTGGGAATGCTTCCAACTTGTCCCCATTCATAAGATGCTATCAGTCGGTTTGACATAAATTGCCTTGATTGTGTGGAGGAATATTCTACTGTCAGTTTGCCTAAGGCTTTCTTTCTGAAAGGTTTTTGCATATTTTCCAGCTGTTTTCATCTATTGAAATAATTATATGTTTTTTAATATTATTTAAATGAAAGGCAGACTTATTGAGTGACCAATTCATTGGCAAACAGTACATTGTAGTAATTCCCGATGTTTTTTTTTTATTTATTGGGTTTCTGTTATTACAGTTTGTTTTTTGTTTATGATTTTACTCATTAGGGTCTTATTCCTGTTTTTTTGTTTGTTTGTTTGTTTTGGAGATTTTCAGCAAGTTTGTAAAAAAAATTTTTAATGAGCTTTTCATTTCAGTGATCTTTTGTAATGTTTTTGCTTCAACTTTGTTTATTTCTTCTCAAATTTCCATGATTTCTGTCATCCTGCTAATTTGGAGTTTGATATGTTGGTTTTCCAGGTTTTGTGATGCATTGAAAAGCTCATTTATTTGATGCCTTTCCAATATCTTGTGGTAGGCACAAGTTGTTATCAAGTGTCCTCTTAACATTGTATTTGCTGTGTCCCATACGTTTTGCTGTGTTGTGCTGTTGTTATCTTCAATCATGTCCAGAAATTTCTTGATTTCCATTTTGATTTCTCCTACGACCCACCATTCATTCAGGAGCATGTCGTTTGGTCTCCATGTGTTTGCATATGTTTTGGAGTTTCTTGAGTTGTTGATTTCCCATTTCCTTGAATTTTGGTCATAGAAGATGCGTGAAATGATTTCAGTTACTGAGTTTACTAAGCTTGTTTTATGGCCTATCATATGTTGTGTCCTAGAGAAAGTTCCAGGGGCTGATGAGAAGAATGTGTATTCTGCAAGTTGTGGGATGAAAAGTTCTGAGTTAGGACTTCCAGCAAGGCAGTCTGTTCCCAGGGACACAGTGATGAGCGACTGAGTCACCTACAATTGTGACATAGGGGAGGGGCGAGGGAATGACCAAGAGAAGACAGTGCAGGTGTTCTCATAAGATATGTTTTGTATTTAAGAGATCCAAATTCCATGCATTTCATAAATGCAATTTAGGTACACAGTGATTGTCCCCACCTGACCTCTCTGTCCGGAGCGCAACACATCGTGCACTTGGTTGTCTGACTCCTGGCAGCAGCCCCGGGACAGACAAGGGCAAGGATGCTGGGTGTGTATCTGCCGTTCAGTACCCTGACCACGGCAGTTTGGCAGAGCGCTGCACCATGCAGGAGTGGCTGGGTGTAAGCCTGGAGGTCTAGAGAGCTCCACACTGCCCTGAGCTTCTGATGGGCTGGATTGGGAGCAACGATGCCCTTGGAGCGCATTTGGTCATGGTGAGCACAGGGTGGGCATGTCAGGCTGGGGCTCAGGTCGCTGCCCCTGGTTAATCAAGGCAGTGCGGCCTCTTCCGCTGACGCTGTGTATTCTGGGAGGAAGGGGCGGGTGTTAGTTGGACGGCACTTGAGCAGTAGGCCTCGGGAAGAAGTAGGAGATGTCTGTGGGAGTGGCGTCGTGGTAGGCTGGCGGTGTTATTGGCGGCAGCGGCACGGGAGGCTTGGAGAGTGCGGGAGGGATTTGCTGCTTTTGAGATTATGGACAGTGAAATGTCCGGGGCCTTCTTCAAAGGATGCGGGATTCAGGGCTTCCCAGCGGTGTTTTCCCCCCAAATCCACAGGTTTGGAGGCAGTGGGGGTGGGTGGGAGCTCAACTGTGAGGAAGCCGAGACGCTGGTGTCAACCTCCCCTCCCCCACGGAGGACACAGATGTGAACCTGTACCCATAATGGACTAGTGTTCTCTCGTAATTTGATGATACTCAGTTTTAGATTTTGTTCCTTGAAGTGTTTTTCATTGCTTTTTGTATAAGGTGTAAGGTATCGGGCTTCTTTCAGAGTTCTGCATGTGGAGGTCCAGTTTTCTCAGGACCAGTTTTTGAAGAAACTGTCCTTTGCACCTGGGATTGATCTTTAGCACTTTTAAAAGACAGAGTAGTTGTAGATGTGTGCGTTATTTCAGGTGTTTCTTTTCTGTTCCATTGTTCTATATGTCATTTTTTTTTGCCTGTACCAAGCTGTTTTGATCGTAACTGCCCTGTTCTGTGTCTTACAATCTGTTATTGCGACGCTTTGAGTTTTGTCAATGTTGTATAAGGTTGCTTTCAGTATTCAGATGTTCTATGTTTTCATATGAATTTTAGCATTGTTTTCTTTCCATCTGGGCAAAATGTTATTTGTCCTTTGGTTGGGATCCCATTGTATCTCTAAATTGCTTATGGTAGAATGGAAATTTTCATTTTGTCGATTTTACCGATGAATGAACATGGCAGATTTTTCCTATTTTTGTGTGTCTTCTTCCATTTCTTTAATGTTTATTAATTTTCATTGTAGACATTTTCATGGATATGAAACTGGACACCGAGTTGACGCTGAAGTTCAGCTGCTGGGTAATCTTCCATTTCTGGAGCCTGCTCATCTTCCTTGTAAAACCCGGCTAGGCCTTCACCCTGGACAGGAGCAACTGGTTAGTAGACATGGCTGCGTCCTGTAGATGGCAGCCTTTGGGCCAAGGGGGAGAGAAGGGAAGGGAAGGGACCTCTGTTCCCTGGAGTTGGGCTGGCGAGGCTGAGAGTAAGGTGGACTTCCAAGCTTTGGGAAGGAGGGTCAAGTGGGGGAGCCCTATAGACATTTGGAGACAGAAATGTGGGGGCCTAGCATTCCTAGAATAGAGTGTTGGCCACAGAGACAGAGGTGAATAAGATGTTGGTGAATGCGTTCCCTCGGGTGCTGCAGAGAATTAGGGGCCGAAAGAACATGTTTATATGGGAAGACTGTGTCTCCAGGCAGTGGGGAGGGAGACCTGGGAGGAAAACTGCATGTGTTGACTCAGAGTACAAAAGGTAAGAAGTCTGCTTTGGGGAGACGTGGTAGTAGTTGTGATGTTTTAGAGTTTCAGGCTAAGGACGATGGGATTGCAAGTACTTATGCAGTGGGAGTGGAGGGTTAGATGCCATGGGAAGAACCTGGTTCATGCAAGGTTCGGGGAGCTGAAAACAGGTTATTTCTGTATGTCACCATCCAGTGATAGAAAGGGAAAAGAGAAGGATTGCATGGAGGAAGGCAGGTGACTTTGAGGAGAGTTGTAATAGGGAGGAGCTGGTAGAACTACTTGTAAGAACTAGTGGAGCATCAGAGTGTTAGATCCAGGACAGGGCCTGGGGAGAAACCTTAGTTAAGTGAGGGAAAGGATATCAGGAGGTAGTCAGAGGGACCTTTCAGAAGGTACTGGGGAATGGGTGCTGAGTTAATCAGGAAATTTGACCAAAGTGTCCCGACTACCAAGAGATGGAGAAGATCTTAGTTGAAATCAGATAAGTGTTGATAGGGGGCTTAGGTACATGGAGAAACTGACATAGCCTGGGAATGAAGTTTGTGACTTGTATTCAGTTTGTAGAAGTCAGAATTATAGCAGAGGACTTTCTCTTGGTAAACGTGTTTTTCTGGGTTTCAAAGGAGTGTCTGTGATGTGCCCACATTTGTTCTAGTTACTTAAGGTAATGCAGAGAGCATCATGTGGGTCCTTGAAAAAGTTTGTGGAAAGAGGGATTTGTAAGGTTGTTTCACTCTGTGTGTGTGTGTGTATGTGTATAGTATTATTCTTACCCATTCAACGATGATGTTAGAAGACTTCGTCAGTTTCTTGTTTTCGCTGCTGTGAAGCATACTGCAATAAATATTGTGGTGTACATATCTCTCTGATACAATATGTTCATGTGTTTTGGGTTATAGCCAGTAGAGGGATTGCTCCATATCGTATGGCAAGTCTGTCTGGTTTTTTAAGAAATCTCCATACCGTTTTCCACAGCATCTGCACTAATTTACATTTTTACCACCAGTGGGTAAGTTTTTCCCTTTTCCCACATCTTCCTCCTCATTGTGACTCTCCGTCCTTTGGGTTTTAGCCAGTATGTACGTGTGAGCTGATATCTCATTGTGGTTTGGATTTGCATCTCCCTGATAGCTGGTGATGTTGCGCATTTTTCCTATATTTCTTGGCCATCTGTATATCGATGGGGAACTGTCTGTTGAGCTCCTTTGGCTACTTCATAACTGGATTGGTTGGGTTTTTTATTGGTGTTTTTTTTTAAGTTGCAGATGTATTCCTGATATTAACCCTTATCATATAGGTTGCTGACAAGTATCCTTTGGTCATTCTTGTGAATGTCTCTTCACTCTATGATGATTTCCTTTGCTGTGCAAAGCTTTTCATTTCATTTGATCCCATTTGTTTGGTTTTGCTTTAGCTGCCTGGGCTTTGAGGGTCTTGTCTAAGAGTCATCCCCTATTCCAGTGTCTTGGAGCTTTCTTTGTATTTCCTTCAAAAAGCTTCACAGTCCTGGGTCATAGATTTAGGTCTCTGATCCATTTTGAGTTGATTTTCATATTTTGTTGGAGTTATGAATCAAATTTCAATGTTCTACACAAATACATCCATTTTTGGCAACACCACTTGTTGAAGAACTCCAATGGATGGTCTGAGACCTTTTGTAAAAATATGGTATTGAACATATTTTGATTAATAGTGGAGCTCACCTTGTTCTTTTCCATTGCTCTGTGTGTCACTTTTTATGCAAGTGCTATGATATTTTGTTTAGTGTCATTTGTAGAATGCTTTGAATCAGGTGTTGTGAGGTATCCAGGCTAAGTTTGTTTCACTTTTTGCTCAGAAACACCTTATCTATTCTGCATCTTCTGTGATTTTGTTTGAATTATAGGTTTGTGGTATATAATTCTGTAAAAAACGTCATTGGTGTTTTGATGAAAATTTAATTGAATCTTTAGGTAGCATTAGGCAAGGTAGAGATTTTAATTATACTGATTCTTCAAATCCACCAAAAGAGACATCTTTCCACTTTTGTGTCCTTGGTGATTTCGTTCATCAGTGTATGGTGATTTTCATTTAGAGCTCTTTGACTTCTTTGAATAAATTTTTTCATAAACTTTTTATTTATGTGGTTATTGTCCTTGGGATATTTGTTGATTGCTCTATCAGTGAGTTCATCATTAATGTATAAACACTGCTGCTTACATACTATGTTTATTCATAACCTGAAACTTCACTTAATTGTTTCACCAGTTCTAGCAGTGTTTTTGGTGGATTGTTTTAGTTTTTTTCTGGTACCATATCATGCCATCTGTAAGCTTTTAGAATTTCACTTTCTCTTTTATAACATTGGTGCTGTTTATTTCTTTCTTCTCCTTTCTTTCTCTTGTGAAAATTTACTGTACTGCATTCAGTAAGAATTTTAAAAGGGGATATCCTTGTGTTGTTACATGTTTGACAAAATGCTTTCACTTTTGCCCATCCAGCATGGCATTGGCTGTTGAGTTGTGATACATAGCCTTTAAGATTTTGATGCCTATTCCTTTTATACCTACTTGTGGAAGTTTTTTTTTTTTTTTTATCATGAATGGGATTGGATCTTTCAGGTTATTTCTCTATCTTTTTTTTTTTTCTTTTTTTTTTTTTTGACAGGCAGAGTGGACAGTGAGAGAGAGAGACAGAGAGAAAGGTCTTCCTTTTGCCGTTGGTTCACCCTCCAATGGCCGCCGCGGCCGGCGCGCTGCGGCCGGCGCACTGATCCGATGGCGGGAGCCAGGAGCCAGGTGCTTTTCCTGGTCTCCCATGGGGTGCAGGGCCCAAGCACTTGGGCCATCCTCCACTGCCTTCCTGGGCCACAGCAGAGAGCTGGCCTGGAAGAGGGGCAACCGGGACAGAATCCGGCGCCCCGACCGGGACTAGAACCCGGTGTGCCGGCGCCGCAAGGCGGAGGATTAGCCTAGTGAGCCGCTGCGCCGGCCTATTTCTCTATCTAATGAGATGATAATGTGGCTTTTTAATAAAAACATTTATTTCTTTGTTTCTAATTTTTTTTAATTTTTTTTTATTTTTTGACAGGCAGAGTGGACAGTGAGAGAGAGAGACAGAGAGAAAGGTCTTCCTTTGCCGTTGGTTCACCCTCCAATGGCCGCCGCGGCCGGCGCGCTGTGGCCGGCGCACCGCACTGATCCGATGGCAGGAGCCAGGAGCCAGGTGCTTTTCCTGGTCTCCCATGGGGTGCAGGGCCCAAGCACCTGGGCCATCCTCCACTGCACTCCCTGGCCACAGCAGAGAGCTGGCCTGGAAGAGGGGCAACCGGGACAGAATCTGGCGCCCCGACCGGGACTAGAAGCCGGTGTGCTGGTGCCCCTAGGAGGAGGATTAGCCTAGTGAGCGCGGCGCCGGCCTATTTCATTTATTTCTAAGAATTAGAAGGCCGGCAATGTGTTTCACTTGGCTAATCCTCCTGCCTGTAATGCCGGCATCCCATATGGGCACCAGGTTCTATTCCCAGCTGCTCCTCTTCCAGTCCAGCTCTCTGCTGTGGCCCAGGAGGGCAGTGAAGGATGGCCCAAGTGCTTGGGCACCTGCAGCCGCGTGGGAGAACAAGAGGTGGCAGCTGGCTCCTGGCTTTGGATTGGTGTAGCGCTGGCCATAGTGGCCATTTGGGAGGTGAACCAACAGAAGGAAAACCTTTGTCTCTGTCTCTCCCTCTCACTAACTCTGCCTGTCAAAAAAAATCAATAAAATAAAAAAAAAGAATTAGAAACAGAACAAGTGCAGGTGAACGAGATTGAGAGAGTAGAGAGCGAGAGAGTATGAGAGGGAGAGAGGTCTTCCATTTGCCAGTGCACTCCTGGAATGACCGTGATGGCCAAACTGAGCCAATATGAAGTCAGGATCCAGGACCTTCTTCTGGGTCTCTGATGTGGCTGCAGGGGCCCAAGGAATTGGGACATCCTCCACTGCTTCCCCAGGCATGTTAGGAGGGAGCTGGATTGGAAGTGGGGCAGCCAGAACGCACACTGGCACCGACATGGAAAGACAGCACTGCATGCCGTGGCTTTAACGTGCTGTAACACAGCACCAGGCCTGCTTGTCTGACTCTGGGCAGCAGCCCCGGCCACCGACTAGGCCAAGGATGCTGGGCAGGTATCCTCCATTCAGTACCCTGACTACGGGCAGTTTGTCAGAGCGCTGCACCAACGGGATTGTCTAGGTGTCAGCCCAGAGCTCTAGAGAGCTCCATACTGCCCTGAGATTCTGGTGGGCTGGATGGGAATCGACGATGTCCTTGGAGCATTTCTGATTGTGATGAGCACAGGGCTGCAGTGCCATTTAGAGCTAAGGCCACTTCCCCTGATTCATCAAGGTAGCTTGGCCTCCTCCACTGACACTGTGTTTCCTGGGAGGAAGGGGGAGGTGTTATTTGGATGGCACTTGCACATTTAAGCTAACAGGACAGAGATGCCCAGGGGCTGCCTCAAAGGAGATGGGATCCCGTGACTTCCAGCAGCATTCTCCCTCGAAATCCACAGGTTCGGAGTCAGCGGCTCAGCCATGAGGAAGCCGAGAAGTGATGTCTGCCTCCCCTCCTCCCTCCCAGAGGATCTGGATGTGAAACTAACCCAGAGTGGACGCTGAAGCTCAGCTGCCAAGTAATCTCCCATTCCCAGAGAGGACTGCACAGCTTCCTGCTCAACGCCAGCTGGGTCTTCTTCCTGGAGAGGAGCAACAGGTGAGCAGATGTGGCTGCCCCAGTAGTGGCCATGTCTGGATGCACAAGGGGAAGGGAAGGGAAAGCCCATTCCCTGGGGTTGGGCGGCCCAGGCTGACAGTGATGGGCCCTTACCCCATGGCAAGGAGGGTCATGTGGGGTAGCCCCACAGGCATGGGGAGAAATGTAGGGGCCTGGTGGGCTTCAGTAGAATTGGATAGCATGCAGACAGGGATGGATAGGATGTTGGGGGAATGAGTTCCCCCGGGCACTGCAGAGAATTAGGGGCCAAAGAACATGGTAATAGGGAAAGACTTGGGTATCCAGGAAATGGGAGGGAGACCTGGAGGACAAGTGTGTGCTGTCGAGTCAGAGTACAAAACCCAAGAAGTCTGGATTGGAGAGACGTGTTAATAAAGTTTGGGTTGAGATTTCGGACCTAAGAATGACGGGATGGAGGTATTTAGGTGTGGGTGAGTGGAGGGTTAGATTTTATGGAAGAACCTGGGGCATGCAATGTGTTGGGAGCTGAAATCAGGTAATTTCTGTATATTGCCACTCTGTGATATAGACAGGGAAATGGAAGGAGTGTATGGAGGAGGTCAGGTGACTTTCCAGTAGAGTTGTAATAGGGAGGAGCTGGTAGGTCTACTAGTAGAACTGGTGGAGTCTCCGAGTATTAGACCTGGGACAGCATCTGGGCAACAACCTTAGGAAAATGAGGGTAAGAAAATGGTGATGGGTGTGGTGTGGTCTTTCTTAGGGACTGTGGTATGGGTGCATGGTCAATCAGGAAACTTTGACAAGCTCTCGGGAATACCAGGGATGGAGAGGCTTATCTGGGAGAAAACTGGATTGGTGGTGTGCTAGGAAGACAAGAACCTGATCAAGCCTGGATGAAATTTGAGGCTTGAGGTCAGCTTATAGAAGTCTGAATTTGGGCAGAGGACTCTGTCTTGGTAAAGGTGTATTTCTTGTCTTTCAAAGATGTTTCTGTTATGTGCCAGCATTTGTTCTCGTTATTTAATGTAATGCGGGGGGCAACGTGAGGTACTTTGAAAAGTTTGTGGAAAGAAGCAGTTGTGAGTTGTTGTCTTTCAAGACATTTTGATGAACTGCGCACAGCTTTGTCGTGGTGCATGTTTTCCATATCCTTCTAGGCAGCTCTGTGTGAAAGTTTCTGCTTTCATGGAGTTTTTGTTCTGGTTGTTGTTGGGGGGCTGGGGATGACTCGAGTCCTACAGGACTTTACCGGGTAGGAGTTCTTGAAATATCTTCCCCTTATGTTGGAACGTATACTTTGTAGTACTTCCTATTCCTCGCGTGTTTTTTATACCATCTCTGATGTTTCCATTTGCTTTTATGAGCCATTATACCTTGTCTTATTTCACGCTGTCACATTTATTAGGAATGCAAATTCTTCCTTAGGTTTTCTTTTCAATGCAGTGTTATTTTTGAGTAACACTTATGCAGAATTATATAGTTTTATACTCTCACTTTATAGTTATTTCTACATAAAGATTTTCAAACTTACATTTTATAAAACTCATGTTTTCCTGTACAGAATTTTGTGAACATGCACATTTTACATTTTTAATTTTCCTGCAATTTGAGTGCTTACCTATTTTATGTAAATCTCCATCAAAGATTAATACATCCCAGTAGATGTATTTGTTTTTTAGGTTAAAAAAATTCTTCAATATGTTCTATAGAACAATTATGAATCAACATTCCCTTCTTTCTGCTCTCCTTCAACGCTGTCTCTCCCAGTGTACCTCTTCCTTTCTTTCTCCATTTGTTCCTCCTTTCCTTACTTTCATCCATTTTTGGACAGTTTTCTATATTTGCATTTTAGTAAAAAAGCTAAATTCTTTACCGTATAAGAAGTTCAGATACTAAAAAATGGGGGGGGGGGACAATGTTTGGCATCCCCTATGGGGTGCTTGTTCAAGTCCCATTTAATCCACTTCTTTTTTTTTTCTAAGACGTATTCATTTATTTGAAAGACAGTGTTATAGAGAGGCAGAGAGAGTGAGTGAGAGGTCTTCAATCCACTGGTTACTCCCTGAAGGGTCCAAATGGGCCAGAGGTGCACTGATTCCGAAGCCAGGAGCCAGGAGCTTCCTCAGGGTCTTCCAGTGCAGGTGTAGGGGCCCAAGGACTTGGGCCATCTTCCACTGCTTTCCCAGGCCATAGCAGAGAGCTGGATCAGAAGTCGACCAGCTGGGACTTGAAACCGCACCCATATGGATGCCGGCACTGCAGGAGGCACCCTACTCGTATATGCCACAACACCGGTTTATACTACATTTCTGATCCAACTCCATGCTAATAGTGCTTGTGACTTTGCACCCATGTGGGAGACCTGGAAATGTGAACCAGCAGATGAAGATCTCTCCTCTTTCTCACTCTCTGTGATGTAACAATGTCTTTGTAAAAAAAAAAAAAATAGATCTTCTAAAAATAAGGAAAGATTAGAATCCCTCGTTTATAGGGAATATAAGTAACAAGTATAATCAGTTGAATGGAAAATTGACCATGTTATTTATACACCCTAAATTTAAAGTAATCACAGATCATTAAAACTATACTACGTAACATTCTTTTTTCTTTTTAAAATTTTTTAAAATTTACTTACTTAAAAGAATTACTGAAAGAGGTGTAGAGATAGAGGGACGAAGTCTTCACTCTGCTGGTTCATTTCCCAAATTGCCACATGGCTAGAATGAGCCGATCGCAAGTTATGAACCAGGAGCCTCTTCCAGGTCTCCCACGTGGATGCAGGGACCCAAGGACTTGGGCCATCTTCTACTGCTTTCCCCAGTCCATAGCAGAGAGCTAGATCAGAAGAGGAGGCATTGGGGTCTAGAACCTGTGCCCATGTGGTGGGATTCCCACCTTTCAAGCCTGGGCTTTAATACACTGCCACACAGGCCCCTGCCCCTTCAATTATTTTTAAAATGAATGAAAAGAGATCATATTTCATGATTGTGGAGGTACAGTTCTAAGAATAAACCCAGAATTTCCTCTCTTCCCCTTTCCTTTTCATCTATTTTTCATGATATGATTATAATCCATGTAATATTCAGGGTAACCATAATATTCATAGGTAAAAGGTAGAAAGAATAGAGTTCCACCAGAGCAGTATGATGATCTTTTATTTTAAGACATTAAATTAAAAAAAGAAACATTAGTTTTTCTTGAGAGGTATTGTTACAGAGAGAGGGAGGCGTAGAGTTAGAGGTCTTCCATAAATATGGGTTCATTCCACAAATGGCCCACATGTCTGGAGGTGGGCCAGTGCAAAGCCAGGAACCAAGAGTTTCTTCTGTTTTCCCCGCTATTGTTGCAGGGGCCCAAGCCTTTGGGCCATCTTCCATTGCTTTCTCAGGCCATCAGTAAGGAAGAGGATTGGAAGTGGAGCAGCTGGACTTGAACTGGTGCCCATATGGGATGCCGGCACCACAATGGATGCTTAACCCACTATGCCACAGTTCCGGCCCCCAGTGTTCCGTTCTTAACCACTGGTTTGTCCAAGTTATCAAATAGTGTTTTCTAGGAGTATATTTGCAGCAATAGTGATACACATTGGCATTTTTTTTTTGTTTTTGTGTTTTGAATTTTTCAAAAAGTTAACTTCCACATGTAAGGTAATACATGTGGTATTTTTCTTTTTCTGGCTGATTTCTCTAAGATGAAGTCCTCCAGTAACTCCATTTTGATGCACTTGATAAAATTTCATTATTTTAAGTCCTGAATAACATTTGATCATCATCTATACCATCCTTTCCTTAGTAATTCATCTGATGATGGAAATCTTTGTTTAATCTTCATAAATAAATCCTTGTTTATGCCTTGTGGCTGCTGTGAACTGTATTGCAATAAACATGGTGGTGGTGGTATCTCTCTCTTTTTTTTAAGACAGGCAGAGTTAGTAAGAGAGACAGAGAGGAAAGGTCTTCCTTTCTGTTGAGTCACCCTCCAAATGGCTGCTACAGCTGGTGTGCTGCACCAATCCAAAACGAGGAGCCAGGTGCTTTCCTCCTGTCTCCCATGCAGGTGCAGGGCCCAAGGACCTGGGCCATCCTCCACTGCCTTCCCAGGCCACAGCAGAGAGCTGGACTGGAAGAGGAGCAACTGGGACAGAATCTGGCACCCCAACTGGGACTAGAACCTGGGGTGCTGGTGCCGCAGGTGGAGGATTAACCAAGTGAGCCGTGGCACCGGCCAATCTCTCTTATTTTTTTGTAAGAGGAGAGAGTTTTATCAGTTCTTTTGTTATACTCTCATGCTCACCTTCTCTGCTCCAAGGAGACCAGTTGCAGAGCTCTAGCCCCAGTGAGTGTTGTATTTGTCCACACTGCCACAAGAACACACAAAGCATCAGTGCAGTTCACAGTGTGAGCCTGGGTCCTGCAGCAATGACTCTCACCAGAGAATCAGGGCAACCTGAGCATGTGGAGCAGCCCAGAATGACTGCTCAGGGACCCGGCCACACCCTGCACCCTTCCATGCAGCCACAGTGTTTTCACAATCCCAGCACACAAGGCTCCCGCAGTCAAAACCGCCCAGACCCCTGTCAGTTCTCCCAGCCAGACTCAGGCGTCTCATCTCAGCTGGTTGCTGGGTACATGGACAGAAGCTGGAACAGCTGATAATATGTCCAAAATGGTTCCCGCCATACCTCAGCTAGTTACAGGATACTGATGCAGGGTGGCTCAGGGAGATAGAAACATATGCCCCCCCTTTATACTTCTAGGTGGCAGGTACACTATTCCCCACAGGGCTCCGCCAAACTCATTCCAGGCTGTTCCCTCAGCTTTATCGCCAGTGGCTCAGGCTACTTCAGTGATCTCAGCTCACTCTCCAAAGCTGGTGTTGATGCTCTCGGCCACTTGGTTACTGAGTTCTGTGTGTCCACACCCTCCTCTACTTTGCGTGGAGTGTCCTCTGAAGTTTCTTC